TGCATCCCTGTCCTATTGCTGCCCCTCCTGCATCCCCATCACTGCCCCTCTTGAATCTCCATCACCACCCTTAATGCATCCCTATCCCATTGCTGCCCCTCTTGAATCTTCGTCACTACCTCTAATGCAGTCCCATCACATTGCTGCCCCTCCTGCATCCCCATCACTGCCCTTAATGCACCCCCATCACTGTCCTTAGTGCATCCCCATCCCTCATCACCCCATGTCCAAACAATTTCCCCGATGGATTTCCCATCTCTTCGTGACACCAAGTGCACTGACCCCTCTGCAGCACTGCCCCGGGGGACATGAAATGCTCACTCGGGCTGTGCCAGGCGCATTTCCCCAGGGCTCCAGCAGCCGCTCAAGGCTGAACCTTGGGATGCCTGCGGGCGATCCCAGCTGAGCCCTCAGCAACCAACGTGCAGTCAGGGCAGCAGCAGGAATAAATAACTTCCAGAGAGCTCGTTGCCTTTTGTGCTCTTCTGCTTTGTTTTAAAGGGAGAGCGAGGGGGATTTTCAGATGGGAACTTCACGTGCAGGTGGGAAACTTTCCCCGCTGCTCCGAGCATTGAGGCAGTGATCTGCATTTAAAGAGGAGGATTTCCCAGGGAAGAACCGCGTCTCTCCTCCCCACCCAGCCCTGCCCCTTACCTGGAGAGAGGTCTTGTGCTCCGTTCCCTTCGCTGAGCCCACGCACGGGGTGGGGATGCTGTGCTGCGGAGGCTCCGGCGTGCAATGGGCTCCTGTGGAGGATGTTCTGCTGTCCTCAGAGCGGTGACGAAAGGGGAGGAGGGAGGAGGGTGAGCCCAGAGCGCTGCGAGGAGGAGGAGGAGAGGGGAGGAAGGTTCTCTGTGGCCCCCTACCCCCTTTCTTGTCCTCCTGTGTCTGGGTGGGATGTAGGGATGTGCAGCAGGGCAGTGGGGCTGCAGCACGGCGTGGGGCGCTGCACTGGGCACCGTGTGGGATCCTGCAATGGGCATTGCATGGGGTATTGCAAGGGACATTGCAAGGGGCATCGTGTGGGGGCACTGCATGGGGCTTTGCAAAGGGCATATTGCATGGGGCATTGCATGGGGTGTTGCAGGGAGACATTGCATGGGGAACTGCATAGGGGTATTGAATAGGGTATTGCACGGGGTGCTCCCTGGTGTACCGTGAGGGGCATCGCATGGAGTATTGCATGGGGTGTTATAGGGGAGATTGCATGAAGTATTCCATAGGCAGTCCAAAGGGCACTGCATGGGGTGTTCCATGCTGTACTGCAGGGGGGTGGAGGCAGCTGCCCCCCATCAGCCCACTCACCCACCTGCCCTGAGCTGGTTTTGAGGCCAAGCTGCTCATGGGCAGCTCCCACAAAATGCTGCCAAGGAGAATGTCACAAAATTGGGAAAGCATCCTGCATCTCCCCCACCCTGCAGGACTAATTTCCCTTCCACCTACAGCCAGACTGAGACGCCCATTGGGTGCAAACAGAGGGATGGGGACTGAGCTTTGACAGGGGGTCTCTCTCCATCTGCAGGGGATGGGAAACCCTGAGCTCATCCTTCTCACCTCCTTCCTGGGCGAAGGCACAGCCCTGACCCAGACCACTCTCCCTCCTTCCTTCCTGCTAGGAAATGTACTGCACAACCTTCCTGCTACTGATGCCCAGCACTGCAATTTCCAGCCCTGGGGGACCTGGAGAACAGTTTGCATCCTTTCCCCTGGGAGGTGAACAAGGAGGCAGAACCAGGCTTGGGGGGCACCAGAATGTGCTTCTCTCCCCATTCTGCAGCCCAATGTTGGACCCCAGCCCACCTGCACGGACTGAAATCGGGGCAGTGGGTGCCACCTTGGGGTGCTGAGCACCCAAAATACCTGAGGAGAGGAGCACTGAAGTGGTGGCATCACCGCTCTGGGTGCTGTCCTTCATTGAGGAAGGAGACAAAGCAGATGTGGCAATAATGCTGACGCCTGGCAGAGCGCAATGCATCTTTATTGTGCTGCCTGCAGCTCCTGGAGATGTGTCACTGCTGCTGCCTGAGGTGTTCCTGTTGCCCAGCCCCAGGGTTGTGCAGTGCACACCTATGGTGTCCCCAGGCTCTGTGATGGTGTGGCCAAGACGTGTCCTCCTTGTGTTTAAACAGATCAGAGTTTTCTGCCTCCAGCTATTTTCCTAATGCCCAACCCTCTGTAGGTTCAGTGCACTCCGGTTGCCAGCTTCAATTTACTGCTGGGCTGCTTGTATTCATCTCCCATAGCTCCAATCCAGCACTTCTCTGCCTGTGTGTGTGCAGCCACTCCAACCCCATCCCCATCCCCATCCCCATCCCCATCCCCATCCCCATCCCCATCCCCATCCCCATCCCCATCCCCATCCCCATCCCCATCCCCATCCATCTCCATGCCCACCCCCCCAAACCCCATCCCCATCCCCATCCATCCCCACCCCATCCTATCCCTATCCCCATCTTCATCCCCATCCCCCTCCCCATCCCATCCCATCCCATCCCCATCTCCATGCCCATCCTCATGCTCACCCCCATCCAATCCCCATCCCCAACCCCATCACCATCCATGCCCCAGAGAAGACGGCGATCATTTGTAGAAAGGAACAGCATGGATGAAGACAGTCATCACGTTTGGATTTTGGGGGTTGCACACAGTAATCCTCGGGGCTTCCTTCCAGCTTGAGATATTCCATGTTTCTCAGATTTTGGCTGATTTTGGCTGGCTGCAAACGGTTGCATGGGCATAGCATGTTCAGGGAGAAGCAAAGGGGCTCAGAGTTCTGCTGGAGAAGGAAGGAGCCTGCAGCAGGGAGTGCACGCAGTGCCATGGGGCTCTGCAAGATAAATGCATTAAATACTTGGGGTGATGGGCATCATGTGGATGAGGACTTGCACAGCAGGCTGCAGCCCTCAACCCCGCCCAGCACCCAGCTTGCTCTGCAAATGCCCTCTGCAAAAGGACTCCTTGAAAGCAATACAGCATGAGTGCAAAGCAGCATCCTACCAGCAAGCGAGGCTGTACGGAGGGCAGAGGCAGAGCTCAGCCCGTATCCTATGGCTGGGCAGCAGCAGCACGGGTGGCCGAGCGCTGCAGGCGGAGGCTCAGCTCATCCTGGAGGCGCTGGGAGGAGGCGTCGAGGACGTGGGCAAGGTGGGAGGTGAGATTCAGCACGTGGGCCACCAGGCGGATGTCCT